ATAAATATTGTTACTTTAATTTCTAATAGTTATTGTTACTTTAGTTTCTGATTCTAACAGTCATGCATATTAATTGTGGAATACTTGGAAAATAAAGTATAAATATCTATTTCTTCATATAGACTCTATGAATTTTTTTTCATATTGGGTTCATATAAGCTGTTTCATTTCTTGTTATTTTTAACTTTAAAAGATAATGTGAATATTTTTCTATAGTGTTATATATTCTACAATTGTGGTTTTGTTATAGCATTCATATTTTAGATATGTCTTATAAATTAACTATGTGAATTCAGGTGTTTATATCCAATTTTATATTATAAATAACACTACATTGAACATTTTGACTTTTATTATTTTGTAATCCTTGAGATATGTTTCTAAAAGTGACATTGTTTAGTTAAAGGACATTGAAACTTTTAAAACTCTTGCCGAACATTTCAAAATTGCTTGCTGTAAGCTTTGGGCCATGGGCACTTTCTTCTGGTGGTGATTTAAGAATGATGGTTTCAATCAATCCTGCTTACTCTTGATGCAAAAGAACAAAGTACCTAGGAATAAATTTAATTAAGGAGTTGAGAGACCTGCATGCTGAATGCTACAGGGCATGATGAAAGAAATTAAAGACAACAAAATAAAGGGAAAGCTGTTCCATGCTCATGGACAGGAAGAATCAATATTACTAAAATGATCATACTGCCCAAAGTAATCTATAGATTCAATACCAATGGCATTTGAATGGTATTTGAATACCAAGATTTAAATACCAATGGCATTTTTCACAGAATTAGAGCAAATAATTCTTAAATTTTTATTGACTATAAGAGCCTGAACAGCCAAAGCAATTTTGAGGAAGAACAAAGCTGGAGGCTTCATGCACTCTGATTTCAAATTAAACTATAAAGTTATAGTAATCAAAACTGTATGGTAGTGGCATAAAAATAGATACATGGATCAATGGAACATACTGAGGGTACAGCAATCAGTCCATACTTATGTGGCCAATTAATTTATGACAAAGGGGGCAAGAATATACAAAAGGGAAAAGACAGTCTCTTCATTAAATGTGGATGCGAACACTGAACAGCTACATATAAGGAAATGAAACTGGACCACTGTCTAAACCTTATACAAAGGTAAACTCAAAGTGGATTGAAGACCTGATATAAGACCTGAAACTATGAAAGTCTTGAAAGAAAACAGGCAGTAAACTCTTCAACAACTGGCATTAGTAGTTTTTTTCTGGTTATGTCTCCCTAGGCAAGAGAAAGAAAAACAAAATAAGCAAGTGGGTCTGCATCCAACTAAGAAGCTTCTGCAATGCAATTAAAACCATAAGCAAAACATAAACTCAACATAGTGAATGGGAAAGTTTATTTGCAAATCATATATCTGACAAAAATATCTAAAGAACTCATACAGTTCAGCAAAAACACAAAACCCAACAATCTGTTTTTTAAGAAATAGTAATAAGAAAGGATCGGTATAATATTCTATGGAAGAAAAAAAGAAAGAATTCTGATTTCATCTATGTTTGACTTGGCTCCTTATCCACCTCTTCCTCCTTCCTCTTTTCTCCTTCCCTCTTCTTCTTTTGGGTATGTTTGTGTGCATGTGTGTGTGAGACTTGTCACCTGCCATTTATTTCTTATGCTTTCTGTTTTTTCCTACTTATTTTGTCATAGTTATATATCCCTATGTCACTTATTTGTTAAATTATATGCACTGTGTGATATTTTAAATACTATGTTCTCAACTTAATATTGTCTTGGATTCTTAAAAAGCAAGTAGGAACAAATATCCACTTCTTATCATTTCCTAAATATAATCAATATCTATGTTAAGGGAGTGAGGACACCAAGCTTGCGTTAATAAAAAGTAAAAGAAAAGCAAAGATGGGGAGTTTAAATGTATGTTTACCCTTTATAAGATGTTATTTAGGTGACTGTGTACTTTACATCCTATATAAAAGTGTTAATTAGATGACTGTATACTTGACCTAACTTGTAAAATTCACATATGTGAATTGAGAGACATCAGTATGTTTGCTTCATCATCAGTTCTGTGATATTTCAAGACTGTCTAAAAGCTTGCCTTTGAGCAAATATTTGTGGGGCAGTCACATATGCTATGATCATATTTGGGGCAGTGGCCTGGACAGAAATATTTGAATGAATGAGATGGAAAATTCTATCTGTTGCCTATTATTGTAAGAGCCCTTCTTATTGCAGTGAAAATATTTTGATTTTTTCTCTTTCCTCAATAGGGGGCTCTTTCCTCCTGCTTCATTTCTGGGAACAAAACTTTTCACTGCCAAGTCCACAGATGTGGTGACAGAGAGTTAGAGAGCTTCTGCTTTCTTTATGTTGTATTCATTCAAATAATTCAGTACAAATATATTGCCTACTATAAAAAATTGCACTGTCACCTCTTCACTTAGCCAGTTCTGCTTTTTTATATTTTCAAAGTCCCCAAATTAAAATTTGCCTTCTCTTCTGCATAACTCCCAAACTTTATGAGTGGGAGCATTTGGGTATATTATCCCAAATTTACAGTTCCTCCTGCTCTGTTCCTCTATATCAATATATCTCTGTATCTATATATAATGAAAACTTGATTCATGAAATACTAAAAATCTAAGACCTCTAAGAGTAAGGAAAATAACAGTGTGAGCATATCTTTGAGAATAAATATTCACAAAAGTGAAGATTATTGTAAATATAGTTAATTACATAAATATACTAATGTTATCCATGATGAAAAAGATTCATAAATGATTCTGTGTTTTCTATGATAGAATGACTGAATAATTCAATCTTTACTCTCATTTCCTTAATTTTGCCCAAGGCAAAGTTGATCTTAAATCTTTCCTCCTATGAACAGGTCTTAAAATGAACTGCATGAACCTTGGTTGATATAATCAATGTCAAACTATTTCATTTTCTAGTACTTGCCTATATGAATATAGCTCACATTTTATTTTTAGACTTCTTTAAAAAGATGCCTTAAGGAATTAAGAAAACTCATTCTCACATGCAAAATTTTAATTATGCCTCTCAGATGTGTGCTTTTAATTAACTGGTGACATTTCCTTTGTTCAATTATTATAGTTCTCTACAACTGTCATCAACTTATAAATTTTAATTAAGGCTGCCCCAAACCCTAGTTATATAGTGTCCACATAGGAATTTGCCAAAAGGCTCAACTGTAAGTAAACCAACAATGAATAAATCCATGAATTGCCCACTGGGATTTGTTGAACAAATTAACATTTGTGTGGAGATAATGAGGTTCTATAGTCCATAACACCAAACAACATCAAAAATTTGTTTTAAGTGAAAAAATCTTTGTAGATGGTTTAAATGGGTATTGTATTATTATTAACTATTAGGTGCTATAAGATAATAAACTACATGGCTGTATCTCAGGTTGAATCACATGAATACTCCTTATATTACTAATTTGAAATATAAAATTTTTTTCTGAACATATTGTTTATGTAAATCAAAATCTAATAATTTCATGCATAGATAAAGTTGATATAGATTTTATGAAAGCAGCAAAGTCTGGAGAAACAATTTGAACAAAAAATCACCTGTTTGTAACACCATGATTTTTATTATCTTAGTGAGAAAAGTTAACTAATAAAGCCTCTAAACAATTCATTTGCATAAGAAAAGCTTCTTCCATAAAGGAAATGGTATCTGTGTTACTAAGATACAATTATAGGTCATATCCTTTTAGCACACATTTATTGGATTCTCATTTGCATATTCAGTGAAGGTCTCAGCACTACAGTTTCTCCTACAGCAATAGAACATACTGTTCTGAATGGACTAGCTTCTCTTAGACAGAGTAAAAATATATAATAAGAACTTGTGTATTTTTATTTCAATCAACCTGCTGAATATTTTTTCAGAATTCTATTAAGTAGTTAGAATACCTTAATTATAAATTAATCATAAGCCAAAAATATATATAGACCTGAAATTATCAAACTTAAAGAAATAGTAATGCTTTTAGCATTGGAATGCAAATCAGAAACAGCTTGACTCTTCTGAATTACACTGAAAATGTTTCTTTAGGTAACTCTTTCAGTTAGCATTATGCTAAATATTTCAAAGAAATGCTTAAGTGGTAGAAGCAGTAAGAACTCCAAGTAAGACAGAAATTTAATGTGTACAGGATATGAAGATCATATGGATTGATTTTCCATTTGACTAAATTTGCATTTATTGTAGTAGAATTAAATGTGTATAGATTGCACTCTAATAGTTGCATAATGTCCTTTGCACTGAATATCAGAATTTGCAAATTATATTTTTTATTTTACATCAGGTTAATTTTTCTCATGGGGATATATTTAAAATGTAATAGAAATCAGTAGGAAAATATGTTCTAATGTTCATTTATGTGCTGAAGAAAACAGTTTTTGCAAACTCTTTTTGCATAAATTAATAATAATCTCAAGTATAACTGAAAAGGTAGTAACCTGATACTTTCAAATATACTACATCACAATGGCAACAGACTAGTTATAATTTTATATAGGAATTATGATGCTATCAGATGTTTAGATATAGTATATTTACATTTAAGATGAACCTAATTTCAAGTAACAACTGATTTTTCATATTCAGAGAACAGTACAATAAAAAAAAAAGAAACAGCAGATTTTGGAGTGAAACATCAGGCTTGTTAACCTGGTTTTACTTAATCATTCTAAGCTAGAGACTAGATATTCAAACTAGCAATACTATCAGCACAGAGCCCTGCAACAGAGTACACACTCAGCACATGATAATGATCATTACTATTGTTAAATTTTGTGACTTGAACTTAAATAAACTGAATTTAGAACAGATGACATTATGTTGAATTAATTCTTTAATTTATGTTAATATATTCTCTATTAAGTTACCAGGAATACTTGTAATATTATTTTTCATATAAGGAAAAATGTAGATGATTTGAATATACAATGACACTCAAATATTTACCCAGAGCTGATGGTATGCAAGTTCCTCCATTTTGACAATAGTTGCTACAATGGTTGACTTCACATCTTTCTCCTGAATAACTAGGCCAACAGTGACACCTCAAATCACCCTTCTCATTTAAAATGCATCTTCCTCCATTTTCACAAGTCAATTTGCATGAATCATCTGGTTATAAGGAGAAATATACAAACTAACATATCATTCAGTAGATGGTTGGATTGAATAATTCAAATGAACAAAAATTGAATACTAGGATTTACTTATTTTCATAAAATTCCAAAGATAAATAACCCTTATATAAAAGTAGAAAAAATAAAATACTATGAAAACACAAAGAAATAGATTTCAACTATTGTTGTAAGGTAAATACAAATAGTGAATTAAATTTTATTTTTGTTTAGGCTTAAAGCATTATTGCCTATTTCCTATATTTGTTAAAACATTAAACAGTAAAACCAATTGAAACTTTCTAAAAATAAAATATTTTCCAACCAATTTTTTTTTAAGATACAGACAACCATGACCAATTTTTTAGGAGTGTTTGATATTAAACAAAACTGAAATATAAGGTATGTTTAAAGTATGTATATATTATATTGTAGGGTATAAATGTATATGCACATATAATTTATAGTATAGAAAAACATTTAAATGAAAAGATATTGTTTGATGTATTTTACTAACTATACATAAACATCCAAAAATTAAAGTCATTTTTACTACATAAGATGATAATAGAACAGTGTAGAAATACTTCCATGTGTACAATTTCCATATGTAGAATGATTAGGTAGAATCCATGTACTTAATACATTTGTCTGATTAATAAGAAAGGGTGGTCATTATTTAGGGCAGCAAAATTATTTTTAAAAATACATGAGTTTGACTTATGAAAAAGATAGGTTTCAAATTATTTTCCAGGTTATTTCTCTATGTGTGTTGACATGGCCTTGCTCCATTAGAAATACTGCCTTACTTAAAGGGCACAATATCCAATGGAACAAAAATGATTGAGGCTTATTCTAGAATGTGCCTATTAAAGCCATGCCTATTTTATAATGAAATAAGGTAAAACCAAAATAGCCTAACTCCTTTTTCAAGACACACTGGCCCATATATAGCAGAAGATTGAATATATTATTGCAATAATCATAAGAGCATCTTAAAGAGCCTCAGTGACTTCAAATGACAGAATGATTCAGGTATTATCATATCCACTGTCATAAATAAAGAGTATCTATCAGCAGTACCTGACAATTCTGAGGCTTGCCTCATCGTAAAGCAAACTTTGTAATACTTTGTCACATAGGAAGGTTTCAGGTTGGCATTACAAATTTTGCATTTGTAATATGAAGGATATTCTCATGAGGCACTATATATACACAGTATATATAGTATAAAGAAAAATGACAGTTGGTAAAAAGAGATCTGTGTTTAGGTCCTAGTTCTGCCACTTAAGAGACATACAAGTTAACCTACGTGAACCTGAGTTAGTTCTATTTTAAATAGCCATAATGACAAACATACAACTCATAGATTTATTTTGACTATTAAATTAGGCATTTGAAAAAAAATGTTAAAATTATAAAACTTTGTAAATGTTAAGTACATAAGCATAATGCCATAAACACACACAAATGAGAATTTGACTAGCCCATATCTACATCTCTGAAATAGTAGAAGGATGGAGAGCTGAGATCTGGGTCTACAAGATGCAGTGTTAAAATACAACAGGAAATTGAGGTACTTTGGAAAATTGTGGAAATTGAGGTAATTTCATAAATTTTGAAGTAACATTCTTATTCACCATTATTTACTGAGTGTCCACAATGTACACTGAGCACTCAGCTCCGGTGGAAGAGGAGTTTCCACTGCCAGAGGTGGGAAATAGAGAACTGAATGGAAGGCAATGTGACTGGACCTGGATTAGAGGGTACGGAGGAAGGAATTCAAAGAGAAAAGTGAGTTTGAAGAGATAAGCAGACACTGTTAAGAGATCCCTGGATTTTGGACTTTTCCCCCAAGCAATGTTGAGTTTAAAAAGCCTGAGATCAAATGTGCCAGCAGGGGTTAAACTAAAATCAGGAGGCTATCAGGACACTGTTCAAATTTCCAGGCTAGATGAGATGCTGGCCTGCAATAGAGTAATGTGGATTGGATAGATGTGGATACATTCTAAAGATAACTGGAAGCTAAAAATTACACTGGTGCTATAGAAAAAGGGAGAGGAAAAACTAAGGAAAATTCAGTTTCTGACACAGAGCATGAGGAATTGAAGGGGTGATTTACCTTTGGACATAACTCAGTTGGAGACACCTACATAAATGCAAGTGGAATCTCCAACAGAGTTGAATATAGAGGTTAAATTCTCAAGAAACATCTACAGTGGGAATATGTTTGCTTAATTTAGAATTTATCAAAACATTTCAAACTCACTCAGCATGAAATATCCTAATTAGAATTGTGAATGTGAACACTGAAGATAACTATTTAAGGCATTATGATCACAGTTAAGATTATTACAGGAAGGCTCATTTTCACCTATAGATGTTCCACCACAGATATTCAGAATCTCTGCATGTTAGGACATGTGCATGTCTATAATGTGCCTCATTAAGTACCAAAAAGTTAAAACTATAACACTGCCTGATGAGATGAAAGTCGGGTTGCAATCTTTCAAAACCTAACTGTAATAGTTCTATAATGGAAAAGGAGGGTACTTTTGTCAATAACTAGATTACCCCCAGAAGCAAAGCTCCAGCAATTACAATCAAGTATAGGAAAGAGCAAGTGAATATTTCTCCAAGAATGAGTAACACTTGAATTTCGAATTTCTTAGATGAAAATTAAAAATATTCAGTGTGCTCATCATTTAACTACAGGAGCTAGAGAAAGGCCAGTCATTATAAAGAGCTGAAAAACTTGGCAATATCACATGTTAATGTCAGGAGAAAATTAATTGGCATTTATCCACACTAATCAATAATTCTGAAATCTACTTACATTATTCCCAACTGAAGTGATCCAAGCTGTCTTATTACCAAGGCTCATATATGTAATGGCCAGTGTGAATATTTTTTAACACTCACCATTTAAAATGTAAGATTTCTTTTCACATTGCTAAATGAATTTTGAAGAGTTTTCTGTAATCATGATTTTCAAGCAGGGCTTGAAAGAATAAAACTGAAATCCCTAAAAAAATTTACATCTTGGATATGTATGTACTTAGATAAACATGCTTCCCCATTTCAAACATAAAAGTCTATAATTTAGTGAATTAATACAGTGAAAAAAACTTGTTTCATTTTCTTACCTACTTGATGAAAGATTTATTTTAGAGTACTGTGTATCTATGCATGGCATTCGCTAGGCACTGTGTTTATGTTATCTCTAGTATTTCCAGTGAATCTGGACATGTTTACTGTGGGTCATATTGGATGCATTGGTATATATCGTATAATGGTTAAGTGCATGGAATGCCCAGGTTCATCTTGAGGTACCACATTATTAAGTAATGGCAAGCCATCAACTGAGTCTTTCCATGATTCAATTTTCTTATCTATAAAAACAGGGGCAATGACAGCATATTATCATTGGGGTTTTGTGAGGACTAAATGAAATAATAATACATAAAATATGCCCTGCACATAGCTTTCAAATTATTTATTATTCTAGTAGTAGTAGTATTTATTGTTAATCCATTTTACACAGAAGAAACTGAGACTGCGGGAGGATACAGACAAATGAGTTAAGTGATAGCTCTTGAGCTAATCCAAAGCTCCACTTCAGCCCTATTCCATGTCAAATGGTTTCTGTGTGTTTATGGAGTTTGGATTATCAGAAAAATAATTTGCATTAAGCAAAGTGGAAGAAAGAATGTTACTATATAGGAGAGGCAGTGATGTCTAGTTACAAAGGAGAAACAACAAAAACTTCCTGCACCTTGACCATTAAACAACAACAACAACATACATCTGAGTAGGTGTGAGAGTCACACTGGGGGCATTCCTGGTGTACTTCTGTGCCCAACCTGTTTTACAGGGCCTCCCATCCAGACAATATTGTGTGAACAGACATAGTTTGCTGGAGGCAACTATGAGAGTACTGGTTATGGGAGTATGTGTGGAATCAGAGGAAGGATTTGTTCACATTTTTGAGAATGTTTCTGAGAGGTGAAGTAGAATATGTGGCCACACAGGGGTTACTTAATGACTCTTTCAGAGCAGCAAGTAGAACATACACCTGTTAACATTTGAAAATGTTCATTCATTCTCTTATTCTACCATCACAATTGAGATCACAGCAGTCTGATCAGAAAGAAAACTGGTAAAGTGAAAAAGTACATCCCAGTGCCAGTGATAACATCCCTTTTCAATAACTGGCACTTAAGTACCTATCCAAAACACCAATCACAATTCACATTCAGTTCTCTGTTAAAAGCTTTCCAACCTTGCTACCCACAACAGAGTTCACACATCCTGTCCACTACTGAAATAAATGACTCATTCTTTTCTTTATATACCCTGCTTTCATGTCTTCTCAGTTTCTTCTCTGTGTTCTGATTCCTCATTCCCACTTGATCTAAATCTGATCTGTCTTTGCAGAACTTGTTCTAAAGTCATATTTAATAGAAAATTATAATCAACTCTATAAACAGATAATCACTCAAATCCTCATAATAGCTTTAAGTCTGTTCCTTCTGTGACTTGTATTACTACTCACATAAATATCTATCAGTGTTTGTGTCAATTCATCATTTCATATGTACTATCTCTTTAGTTTTGCATATCTAATGTTGAAAGAATATGTATTAAAGAGTTATCATAGTTTTTGACACTCAGTGTCATAGAAAACACAAAGGTCTTCAGATTATATGGAACCCCCAGTAGACAACAATGAAAAGAGATGTGGGGGTGGAGGTCAAGACTGAGGGCAAAGACACAGTGTTTATGTGAGGAGTTCATTCTAACAAAGGAAAATACAACAGGTAGGTCCTATGAAGGGACAAGTGTGTATCTCGTGGGAAAACTGCTGTGATCCTCAAGGCATTCTAGAGCACTGTGCTTTTGTCCATGACATAAAATTTAGTTAAGTATTGGTTTTCTTTTCTTTTAATAGCATTTATTCCCCCATTATGATTCATGCCTTGAATGTAAGGGAACTTACTGCCCATCTACCTAGATATCCAGAGACTTCTCCTCTTTCCCTTTGCTATCATGCTATTTTGGCTTTTAATTTCTATTTTTATTTTTATTTTTTTTTGCTGTTTAGTACTTATCAGCATCTTTTTCATTTTTTCAGATGTTTCATTTTTTAATGTTTGTTACAACTTTTAGCTCTTATAAACTGCACCAGTGAAGAAATCTTGTCAGTTTTGCTCCTCAATTAATCCTTAGTTTGTAAGTAGGTGTTATGCTTTGCTCATATCCCCCAAAATAATTATTGTTAGTAGTAGTGGTATTTACTGTTAATTGAATTTAACGCAGAAGAAACAAAGACTTAGCTTTTTAATTAATCTCAGTTCTAAATTAGGGTTTGGCACATAGGAGTTGTTCATTATAAGCTTTTTGAGTGAGTAAATGGATTTTGGAGTAAGTCTTAAACTACTGGCAGAATGGTATCCCCGTAAATAGCATTATTTTCATGATACAACAGCCATATACAAATATCTTGACTGTGTGTGACTTCAAAATTCTTAATCTACTCTTAAATGCATAGTAAATATTCAATGCAGCTTTGTGAATCAATGTAAAATGAGTTAATAAGAAGTCATCAGAGAGAACAGTTTATGCAGGCATTCAAGAACCAATGATACCAAGACAGCTAAAGTGAGGACTGAGTACCTAATTCTGATAATTTTCAATAGTTGTGCAAATTTATCCTATGAATTAATTCATGATTTATAAAATCATCAAGTTTACCTACCTAACAGGCTGTCATCAGTGCAGGTGCCATTAATCAGATATTTTCCTTCTGGGCACACACAGGTGGCCCCAGAAGGATTCAGCAAACAGAGGAATTCACATGCTAAGTCCAAACATGGATTGAGTACTGATTAAAATGAAACAAAAGAAAACAGAAAGGCAGACATATAAATACAACAGGTTTCAAAAGCATACAATTAGGTAAGGTGAAATGTGAATTAGCAATTTTGAAAAGAAATCAAATTTCTACTAGTAGCATCTCATTTCAAGGCTATGATTTTCTTTATAGACAAAGAGAAATTACTACCCAACACCCATCATTAATAGTCAATTTACCCTAATTTAAACTTCCTACTAGGGAGAAGAAATTATTTGAACACACACTTTGTCACTCTTCCTTATGACTTATTTTTGGCAAAAGAGTTGGTCTGTGATACCCAAGTACAGGTTTTGGTTGTGTATGAAAGTAAAGCTAGCTGAAGTCTTCAGGGACCCAGTCCTCATTTTAGATAGCTTCAGGGCTCTTTAACAGGCACAATTTCCCCTTGGAAATTACAAAGTTTTAAAATCTACATGTATTTATTCAAAAAACAAATAAAATACATGATTTTGTTTTCCTCTAAAAGCCATGCTTAACATGGTTTCCTTTCCTTCAGGTAGGAGTTCTATGCAAGGGTAAACGTCTGCCACTTGTTTTTTAAATCTCAATCCAATCAGCGTCCTCTATAGTCATAGCTGCTTCAGGGCTCTCACTAGAGAATCTGTTATTAGCATAAAAGAGAAATAGCACCTAGGTGGTGAACTGGTGACAATCAAAGTGGCTTTCATTCTCTAAGAACCACTACTCTAACACCTACTATATTCAGGCCAGAGATTGATTGATTGATTGATTGATTGATTGATTTAATGGAGGTGGAACTATTTAGCTATAAATACAAATCAAACAAAACTAGAGGGTGAGGAGGTTCTTTTACCTAGGGTTAAGATACTGAAACACTTAAAAATACCTTCTTTTGAGAGTAATAAAAAAGAAAATTTATCAATATAGACTACCATATAAAATATTATACTTACAGTCTAGTTGTTTGTAGCGATGAGATATCAGAACACCTTTTGTTTTATCAACATCTAAAGCTAAGTACTCTACTAAACTATTGCCAAATTTTTGTACTCGAAATACACCATTTTTAGGTCCTGCTCCATATATATAATCTTCAAAGACATCGATCCTATGTGGATGTAACAAGCCTAGAATTTTTAAAACATGGAGTTATAAAGTTACAATGTAAACACTCCAACTCAAGAAAACCAAGTTTATCTAAGATCTTACAGAAAAACTTACTACTGTTCTTTAAAAGAATTCCAAATTAGAGTATTTTCAATATGAGCTGTGAAGTTGTTAGGATTAATTTATTTGCATAGGACTAGTGAGATACTAAACATGTCACTCAGAACATAAAAAGCATTTGCATCATTACTTTAATCATCACCATGACACAGCATTTGCTGGGGGCTTGTTTTATGCAGAGTAATTCCTGCTGTACAGTTTGCAAACAAGAGAAAAACTTAACAAGACAACCTTATCCATTGCACAAAAACAGGCAGTTCACAAAATTCCCAGTTTTTTTATGGATCAAATCAATGGTCAAATTAGATTGCCTGGATGTCAAATTTGTCAAGCAATCTGTGTTGATTTTAAAGAGAAAAATCTAAAAAGAATAAATTTACATTACTATTTTCTATCTTAGAAATGGGACAAAGGAATGGTAGACTTAGATGTGACTAGTTGGCTACAAATAATAGAGGACATCATTTTCCACATTGTAAGAAATGACTATTATTATAAGACATTTTATAAAAAATAATTTTTAACAAATCTAACTTTTGGTACTGAGCTTTAGAACAACCAAAATGATAACATTTATATTTTACTTATCTAGAGGGTGAAAATAAAATGCCTTAACATGTATGTCATGTTTCTTCAATGTGTTTTGAATAGAAAAATGTACACTTAAGCAGAAACAGGTTAACCTCATTGTGATGAATTATAGGAATGTGTAATTTTTTTCTATCTAGGATCATCATAAGAAAACATACTTCAGGCCAGGACACAATGAAAGTTCAATTTACTTATTTTTCTTTTGACTTTTCTGCTTTTGTTAAAAAGAAGCAAAGCTGTATTCAGTAAGTATAATACATAAATGTAAAAACTTTAAATATACATTATGAACAATTTGTGATAAGGAAGGGAAGAGGTTGTGCTAAGGAAGGGAACGAAAAATAGAAGGGAAAGAAATTGGATTCATCAGAAAGAACGGAGATTGCCAGACAAGGAAAGCGTGAGGCACAGAAGGGAGCCAGAAAATGAGAGTAAAAAAAATGAGGTAGGCACAAGGCAGAGATAAAAATGGGCGCCACAGGTAGACTCTATGGTCATGGTGGCGAAAGTAAGTTGTCACTCTACACACTGCTTTTCACTTGCATCGGAGTATCCTCATCATTACTTCTACTAGTGATTGTTTACTATATACAGTAACTCATTTCCTGCTTGTTATTTGAAATAAAAATCAGTGTTCAGAGGGACTAATCTTGGCTACTTGAAGTGTTCTGCTCAGAATGGGACACCCACTGAAGCAACAGAATGATTATTTCCTGAATCTGGGCAGCCGTGGACCATATCTGTCCTAGAGTAAAAAGATTCTTCTTGCCTGGCCTCTTTGTTATTCTAATAGGAATGAAAACTCCATAGTAAGAACTGCAAGTTGAAAGAAAAAAACCTGAGGAAATACAGAATGTGAATCTTTCTTACTTATATTTACATACTATTATTTCCATGTCTTGATAATAATTAAAGGGGAAAACAAAAGCCCTTCACACACCGTGTTTGCTGCTGACAGAGACTACTGAGTCAGAGCCATCATACAGAACACTGCCGATAACGGAGAGTTCAAGGTCAGCCCAGTATATCCGTTCACTGAAATGATCCACAGCCAGCCCTGCAAAATCAGCAGAGACAGATAAATAAATGAATTCGAGATTATTTAAAATTGTTTTTGCTGCTTAATGTATAATTTTGATTGTTTTTTTCCTTCAAGCATCACTGAAATTACCAAGAAATTAGAAAAAAGGAAGGAACTCAATCCTTATCTGAAATAGATGTGTTTAGATAACACAGAATGTATTTAATAAGCTGTAACAAAAATATTACTACCCCCAAAAAGGTTTTCCATAATAAATTTAGTTTTTATCTTTATGGTACACATAGAATTGATTCATCATTTCTATCATTTATGCAACTTTATTTAAAATAGTTCACTATAATCAGTTATATTTTGAACCTCTTTTTAAGGTGTATATCTAAGAATTTAAAAAGGTTCATGGACATAATCGTAAAGTATTTTCACACATTTGGAATTGGACTCCAGTGTTGTAAGACACCTGTGTGCATGCTGCAGTTTAAAATGACTACAGATTGCTGTTTATAGTAAGGAAAAATGAACAGTGAATTCCTTAATTAAGGTTCCAGTTGTGCTTCAATTTTTCACTCTAATTTTTTATTCTAATCATCAGTTCACTCTGAGACTGTTTTCATTTTTCATTTTTATCAGCCAGTATCCGTTAGTGAATCACAATGAACTGAAATAATATGTGGTAAAAAAATAATGTTTTTCTATTTATTCAATTATTTATTTGCTGATGTCATAATATGATTAGAATCCAGCCAGTATCTTCTTACAAAAATATCATCCACACATAGAATATCTTAAGTAAACTTTTTTCCATAAAGAAGACTAAGATCTAAGACACATGAATTTTACAGCAAATTTTCACTGCTATAGATATTTAATTTTGTGAGATAGCTAGTCCTTAGATATGACATATTTCATACCTTGACAGTACAATGCAATTAAAATAACTTTATCAACTGAAACCTAACCAGAACACTCAGTAAACAACTGAGGTACACCTTGACAGCAAGGCAACTGAATTAAAGGTCTCTTTAAGTTTTGTGCTATCTGTATTTCCTATGCAGAAGGACCCAGATTTAACAATCAGAATGAAAACAATCATGGTGAAAATCATTTGGGAATATTTTTTCAGTTAAGTATGTAGCTCTAGCCCAAATGTAATCAAACTAACTATAAATATTGCCTCTCAAGGATAATATAAAAATGTACTATGCCCAATCAGCCTCTGAGAAATTACTTAACAATTAAAACAAGTGGTTCATGTTTTACTAGTTTCTGCTTGATGATTAATTTCCTATTTGTAGTTACGTGGGGAGTTATGTTTTTGCCTCTTCATGTATAATTATGGGTGACACATACCATAAAATTATTCATTTTCTTGCTGCCACCATTATATTTCAACCCAGTTGTCTGAGAAGGGTTGAAAACACTTTTCTTTCTCTCCCACCAGTGTAATATAACAAAGAGGTACATAAAATAAAAACTGTCCCCAGCAAAATTGGTCTTTACAGTTGGATATTAAATTTGTTAATCATAGAAAGAATAAAACAATGGGTATGCAATCCAGTTGAATTACTGATTCTGTTTCCTCAGCTTTAGGAACAGTAAAGAAGATCTCAAAAGTATCATTTATTGCATTAGTCTAGGGTTGTTTAAGATACACCATCCTTATCAGCTCTGGTCACATATTGTGTTATTGGATGGAATTACATCTAGATAAAAATTATGTAACAAAGCTTTCAGATGAGTGGGATTTATATTCCCCAAAAATCCACAAATCAATGATTTTGATTTTTCCTTAAGCCCTTTAATAAAAGAGATAGTTTTTAAATTAAAAAGTTAATAAAGGAATCAACTAACTTTACTTGTTATAGAGATGTGAAGTTTATATGAAAGAACAAGTTCATTTCTACCTTTAAAATATCACATCTCCTTTTTGTCTTTCATAAAGACCCAATAAAAGAGTGGGAAAAAAAATCAATTCCCAAGAAAATCATTGTTACCTGAACTGGGAATGATGAATATTTGGAACCAAGTCAGTGTAAGTACAGAAAATTTAAAATAACATGTCAGACTTGTTCTAATCAAGTAAATTGGAATCACAATTTGGAAAGCTTATAAAAGATAAAGAGACAGTCAGTCTCAATAAGTTTTAGAAATGCGTAACAATGTTCTAATCATGTAGTCATTTGCTTTACATCTCCCATGATACTAGACGACTAGTACATTTTAGGGATTTCTGAATTTCACTTTTGTTCCATTCTAAAATTTTTTGAGATCCTCCCAGTAGTTCTCCTATTTCTACTATGGCCTAAAAGAGAGAAAGAAAAAGAAAAATCTTAACAAGACATGACCATAGCACCAATGTGATATTTAAGAGAGAAGACTTGGGGAGAGAAATAAATTAAGTTCACTGTGTTTTCAGAAATAAAGAAATAGATTATATATATTCTGTATTAAAGGAAAGCCAAGACTTGTAAGGTGGCAAGAACTAATAAATATGCACAACCATATTCTTGATTTAAGAGGTGATAAGAAGTATCCCAGAGCTGAAAATATTACCATTGTGTCAAATTAATTTTCAAAACTTGTTCAAACTACTTTTGAGATAGGTTGCCTATTTAGAGTAACCTAAAAAGATTTCAAACTGCATTAAAGTTATTTTTTCATATAAATACACATGCACACACATATATTTAAAATAAACACTCATATCTAGAAATTGCAAAACAGACCTCAAGTTAGTATTCATTTTATTTAATTACAGATGTTTTATCAACTAAGGACAAAAAATTTGCTGAATGACATATAATTATGACTGGTCCAAGGACAGTATATACTTTTTATTCTCTCAGAAATTGCCATGTTTGTGTGGGACATTAAAGGCAACCTAAATAAGCTTCTAGATACCAAAGAGTATGGTATTTAATTCAAACTCATGTGATCCTACATACTTTTCTAATGGAGGGAAATTTGGAAAGGGTCCTTATCTGATGCATCATTCATTGACACAAAATAAATTCATAAGCCACCTCTCTTGTACCATATGCTGTCAGGCACTAGGTATGTAGCAAAGAAAGAAACAAATCATGATCCTCCTCTCATGGAGTATGGTACTCAAACACCACAGAACTGATTGAAGAAGATAGATTATGTTTAATATAGTGCCTAATAAGAAAAAAGTGTGTCATTTGTTAAAGGAGGCCTTACAAATCATAACATTGGTTAAAGTGTTAAAAACTGTAGGTATTCAACATTTAATTATTCTTAGGCTCACACTAATTACAGTCACTAGAATATTCTATGGCTGATATAACAAGAATATCAGTAATTGTTTTGGTATAAGGTGTTTATGGACTTGTTGGGCACATAGAATATGCATTATAGAGTTAATGATTTATGATATCATTAAAGCAGTAGATGATGGGGTACCAAGTAAAGAGATAATGAATACTGTTAAAGCCCAGAGGATTGAGGTATTGTCATCATGATTTTGGAAAGTACACAATGACACTGTTGGTGGTGAGCAAACATAAGGCTTGCTAGGTGCTTGAGCTCACTTTTCAACTGGATAGCACAATCCTCACCCTGGAAATCACAGGAGGTACAGAAAGGACAGAGACCAATTCTTCTATTCCTATTGCTGTTCATATGTCATCTGCACCCTATTGATGTACAGAGTATAACCAAATTTACTGCATCTCAGTGCATATATTCATTCTTGAAGGCATAAAGGAAAGACAGCATTTCTCACAAACCCAAAATATAAAGAACAAGATATAACACTTGGAGGGAAACAAAGGTAGTAATACAGTTATGGATTTCAATATGATAAACTTGGAGTCAGGGTGAATATTTATAAACACATACCAAGAAAAGAAGGAGAGAAAATAGGTACAAGGTCTAACAAGTTTCTGGGAAAACACAAGCAATGAACATACTTCCATGTAAAGATATCTCATGGGATATATTTGCATAAGTGCACATGTCTCCTCACATATAACGTGTATATATTCATATCAATGTAGAACAATAACAAATGACTGTCAACTTTTCACTATATATATTGCTTTCTAATAATAAGCCATTTATGAAATCAAATTATGTATCATTTCCTAAAAATCTCATGAGATTTGTTTTGGACTCATTTGTATATCAACATTTGGCATGGTAATCCTCAGAAGATATTCATCACCATAAAGACAATATTCAGAGATGTTTCTGCTTGATGGAATAAAGCCCAGCCTAAGAAGACAACACCAGCATTCTAATATTAAGTTAAGTCACTTAATAAGCAGGGAGTAGGCATCAGGTAAAGTAATATATTTTAATATGCAGGTTGTGGATATTTTTTAATCTTACAGAATTCTAATTGATATACAATAAGAACATGAAACATATTTTTAAGATATACTAAGTGACATTTTAAAATGTGGATTAAAAATGATTATCAGTGTTAAGGAGTTAAAACGGACATTAAATGGGATACATATGCAAGGCTTTAGCATAACACATGGCACCTTATTTTTATAATTATTGTTAGCTTCTTAGAGGTACTAGGAATTATACTAACCAATTTACATTAGTTTTAAATATGATTTAAATTGTTATAAATTCTATGTAAGGTAAATATTATCATATACATTTACAGATAGGAAAATTGATGCTCAAAAGTTTGTGCAGGTGGCTCAATTTTAACTCAAATCATTAAAATGAAAGATGCTCTTCCTCCCATTCCCTATTTCTCCTGTGTGAGGCACTATGGTTTGCCCAGCAGGAATACATTCTCTTCTGTAATCTTCCTTGGGTCGTTGTGCCACAAAATTCTGTTGCTTTGATCCCACTGCTCAGACGTCTTTGAAGCCTTCGCTTCTGACTTTGACTCTTCTAAATACAGTCATCACCCCCTAAGATCTACATCTTAGAAGCCACTACCCTAAAAAGCCCCTTTGTTTTCCCTTCCCATGTCCATCTTAACAACCCCAGCAACTTTAAATATCAGCTTTTTGTGTTAATTCCCCAAACTAAATTTCTAGCTCTGCTCTGAGTTCCAGAAGTATCTGTGAGAAATCTCCATCTGACCGACTTACCTAGTGGGTCATATTCACAACTACAACACTTGCCTCTGACTGAGTGTCAGCATCACATCATCAAGCACCACCTTCTCAAAAGTTCTAAGAACCTAATGCTATACTGCTAACTCCCCTCGTTTCTGACCAATGTTCCTCCTCTACTTTCACTCTTATCTCCATAGTACTAAACCCTGTATTACTTACTTGATAATTTACTTTGTAAAATACTGTACTTCCCCTGTCTCACTCTCTGCCCTCCACTAGAGTACAAGCACTGGGAGGAGAGGGGTCATTAACTGTGTGTTCGTCATTATATTCCAAATGCCTAGAATCAGGCTGACACATAGTAGGCACACAATAAATATTAGCTTAGTGAGTGAATAGATGGTTTTTAAGAGTCTGCTTCCATAAATGGGGCAAAAGTTTTTAAAGCAGAGTTGCCGAGAAGAAAACTCACATATGCCGTTACACATGAGGTGGAGAGCCTTACACCCACTAGCTAGTTTCTTGACATGTGCGTGTGGGTGTCTGGCCAAATCCTGTTCCCAGCTTAACAGGAGTCATGTAGTACTTGCCATGGTCTCTAGGACCCCGCATGAGCTGGCCCCTGTCCACCCCCTCAGCCTTACCTCATGCTACTTTCCCGTTGGTTTCCTGTGCTCTTTGGCTTTTCATTAATCCTACCCCAGGGCCTTCTGACATAATTTCTCATTTCCACCCCTTCGCTAAGTCTAGCAACTAATCTTAACAATCAACTCCTCAAAAAGCCTTTCTGTCCCACTGTAACTAAAGTGATGTCTCTGCAGTACTCCACTCTTCTCCATCAGGGCCATTTACACACATGTGCATGTGTGTGTTGTGTGTGTGGGCATACATGCATTTCTGGCTTTGTTTTTACAGTCCCTAACATTAGACCATAAGATGCGTGAGGATGAGGATAGGGACCCATCTCTCCAATGTCCAATAGTGCCTGGCATATAGCAAGCAATCAGTATTTTTGAATGAAAGGAGGGATAAAGAATTAAGGAAATAAGAAGATGCTTGTATGAATGATTATGATTTATTGGCTTTGTATCACTTGTGGAGACATTTCCTGTGTCTTCTATTATCATCTGTATTGGATAAATTCTACCTACTATGCTAACTCTGCTCTGCCACCCACATACATCCTCCCACTTTATCTATTACTATTCTAGTAATGCTATTCTATGCTCTTATCAGGACCATTCAAGGACTGTTAGCTGGTATCTATTCTATTTTCAGCTTGGTATCTACTCATTCTATAGGCAAAATGCTACCAAAGCAGTATGTCTGAAGGCCTACCTTATTTACACTGCTCCTCGGATCAAAATTTTACAGAGGTTTATTACTGATTAAAAAATCATGCCTAAATACCTTGGTGTTGAACATCCCTATTTTCAGCATAAGTTACATTACCTGCCCTTGTGATTCAATATTATGAAACACTGCAGCCCATGGCTTCTAATATTATGAAACATTGCAGCCCATGGCTCAGAAAGCTATGTCATTTAAAACAGTATTTTAAGTTGGTTGTTATTATTCCTTGGTTTGATAATGACAAAATCAAACTTTGAATGTAGTTCCTTTCTGAGATCTCACAACTAGTGAGGGATGCCTTGGAATTCGAAACGAGGTGTATCTGACTTCAAAGAACACCTTTATAAAATCCACATCATGATGGAATATCTGCCTACCCTTCAAATGTCTGCCAGGCCTCCAAGCATTTATTCAAGTGACACCCTTCCCATAGTTTTCTTCTACTGGAGATAATCTTTTTACCCTGAACTCCCATGCCATTAAAATATATATAACAATTCTCATGTATTGCCAGAACCACAGTTACTTCTGTGCATTGAATCCTCTGTGTTTTCCCTCCTTGCCTAGGAGCTCCATAAGAAAGGGACTATGTCACATTTCCACATGGAAAATATTCAATATATGCACCTTTCCCTTGGTCCACATAGGAGACGCCATGCCGGACAGCCTGAATTTCCTTTGCTAGCTAGGGGTACCCATCCAGCTGCTGCTTCAGCAGGTAAGGGCTCACACTTCTCCTTCACCAGGGAATTGAACTCAATTGACTCAGCAGCCTTGGTTGGGGAGTTAGAGGTCAAAGTAAAACAGAAACTGATGGAGCATCTAAAAGGCTGATCGTGTGCCCGTCATGGGATTTGTGCTCCAAAGCACATTTCCTGTGGCTCCAGCCAAAACTACACTTGACCTGAAATTGTCTTTCTGGGTTCTTTCTCTCTCTCTCTCTCTCTACTTTTCACACATTTCTCCAGAGTAACACTCCCTTCCTGAATCCTTTACAAGAATCCCTGTCTCAGGCTCCCGCATAACAACACTTCGACAGGCAATTCTGTAAACTGATGCCAGAGTCATTCTCTAAAATGAAAATCATGTTACCTATACAATGATTATGGGAAATGGTAACATCACGGAAGTTTTTAAAGTTAATTTTGTACCTTTTGTATAAGTGTAAAATTAATTTAGAGAAAGAAGCACAAAGTTCTTATAAAAATATAATGTTTGAGCAGATTATGCCTCTCTCTCCTCAGTGCCCTCTGATGGCTCCTCTTAAAGTAGAATAGAATCTAGACTTCAGCAGTGTGTTCTAGGTCCTAGATGATCTGCACCTGGCCACCTGGGCACCCTCATGTCTGCCACTCTCCCAAGCTGCTCAGAGACTTCTAAGCATACAATGCTCTTGCTGTTTTGAACACATGCTAAACTCATTCCTGACTCATAACCTGCTGTTCTGTCTGCTTGGAAAGCTCTTTCCTCACATAGTCACATAGCTTGCTCTCTCTCTCTATTCAATTCTTTCCTCAAATACCACCTTTCTAGAGATGACTTCTCTGATAATCATAACTAAAACAGTACCTCCCCCAATAAATGCCTATCCCTTAGTATGCTGTTTTTCTCTATAGCATATCTGACAGGATGTATAATATGCATTCTATCCTCCACAGGAAGGTAGGTTTCATGAGAGTTGGAAATCTCTTTACAGGGGTAGGAACTTGCTTCTTCAGCATCTGGGACAATTTAAAGCATGAGGTGGGTGTTCCATTTGTATTTGTTAAGTCATTGAACGGAGACCTGTTTATGTAAGTCAACTACATCCCAAAGACTGCTTCTTCCCATAAAGAATAAGAAAGGCCCAACTTGAGGAGAAGGAGTAAGGCACATAAAAGGTAGTAAGAAAAGAAGTGAAAAGCATAAGTACATTTTCAACTACAGAAGACACTACAAAGCATACTTTTTAAATAATATGTTCTCTAGAAAACATGGCCCATCCATTTGATGCCATGTAGTGGGCAGGGGTGTGTGGCAGGAAATCCCTGAGGCTGCGGTGGTCTGAAAGTTTTGTTGAGGAAGTGCTAAAGCTTGACCTTATAACAGGTGTGATTCAGGTGAGGTACAGAAAAGGCATAAGGGCATTGGAGTCAGGGAGGCTGGGAGGAAAATGGAATGGGAGAGAGAGAAAAGGAGGCAGAAAAAAGGCTGGAGCCTCTGAGCAGTCCTGGGGTACAGAGAGTTAGGAGTGGCAGCTTCGATGACATGGCTGGGAGGGAGGTTAAAGCCAGGCTGAGAAGAGCTATGAAATGAAAAGCAAGGAATCATCAAACCTGTCTTTCACAAAAATTATTTATATGTGCCCACCTCTTCGTCCATTTAGTCACTTATCCTATAGGAAGATCATTCTCTATCTCATTATAACAATTAATCATTAACATATATCTATAAAAATGCCACAGCACATTGCTATAAACTCTCAAAATTCCATGCAGGTGAAATTCTACTAATGACCTTTACAACTTGGGCAATTTTCAAATAATATCCCCGTAATATACCTGGCAGTATGATAAGGATCTGGCTTTCAAGTTGGGAAAATACAACATGAAACCTTAATGACTTTCATAAAGTCACACTATAAATTATTTTATCGGCTTGTAAAAATAGTTAAATTGCCACCAAAACTAGAAGGAACTGTAATATTAATATGCTTAGCATAATGGCTATTCATTTGAAACTGTCAGAAACATATCATACCTGTGGGTCTCTGTAAGTTCTTTTGAACTAAAATCCTTCTCAGAGTGCCATCCATGGCTGCTTCCTCTATGTGGGAGTGGTCTCCGATAACAGTCCAGTACATCATCCTGAGAAGACAGGTCAAGTAGGTTACTGGCGTTGGAGCTGTTAGAACCCAGTTCAGCTCCAAAATTCAGCTTCCGTTCAGACCGCGTGTATCAGAATTATCCAGTGTCCCTGAAAAAGCAAATGCCTGGACCCAACTCTAAACTTACAGAATGAGAATCTCAAAAAGAAGACCCTAGGAATCAATATTTTTATACAGTCTTACCTATGTACTAAAGTTTGAACGTCACTGTTTAATAGAACACACGAGGGCTTGTTATTTGATGTCCAAGGTTCAATTCGAAAATTTCACTAAAATTTCACAAAGAAAGTATTTCTAACTCTTGAAACTATCCTCTTGTGACATAATTCATTTTATTATGGATGCTATATCAACATGCTTTCTTTTTTTTTGATAAAGAAAGTAACTGTTTTCTCAGACAGAAGTCATTTTCTTATTTAGAAGATACCATACTGATTAATTCTAATATGCAAATAACAGTTGCCTCTTTTATTCAGGATATAATGATCTATTTTATGGGTGGTTGGGAATTTTATTTAACATTTCCTTACTTGCTTTTTGGTCATTGGCTATGAATGAAGAAGTAGAAGAGCAAAGAAAGGAAAAATTCAAGTAAAAAAAAAAAGGAAAATATTTGTGTTAAATTGTTTAAATTTGTTTATACATATGTCTTCATATTTTATTATCAGAAATAACCCCAAACATCAGTATTCTATGCTTAATGTTTAATATTATGTTTAACATCTTGAAAATTCAATTTTAGATTAGCAATAGTGCTTACACGTTCATCACGTTTCATTATTTTTCAGTGCACACATGAGACACACACATACATACACACAGAGAATATATAATGTAGCAAACTTTGAGGAAAAATGCACCACCATTTGGTATGAAAAGGACATGCTTCTATACAAGAGAAGTAGAGAGATTTTCAGAAATCTTGTGAATCCATTTTACGTCGAACTTTCATTATAGGAACCAAACCACAGAGCACAGGTGGCTCTAAAAATGGATACTCATATCAAGAAATACAAATAAGTAAGTAATTAACCTACCCTCTTTTAGGGTTTACAGCAATAGCGTAAGGCTCTCCAGCCATATTTGTTAAGAGTCTGGTGCAGTTGGGGCCGTTCAGTTGCCCTACATTGACAGAATACCTCAGACTGGTCCAGTGAGTGGTGTAGTAACTGAACCAGTGCATCCTAGAGTGATCAGTCCAGTAAATATTTCCAGCAACCCAATCAACCGCAATGTCCCTGGGTCTTTTAAATTCAGGGCACTAAAAGAAAACAAAACAACACACCAGTGTTTTCAAAAGCAAATTGGTAGAGTTTTCTGCATCTATACATACAATTGTGTGGGAATCACATTAACTTTGTCAAGTGTTAGTTGTTATATAGATTTTTTAAATATCCAACATACTTAATTTTACCATTACTTTTTATAGGTGTATAATTTTACAAATCTTAAGTGTACAGCTCACTTCAGTTTTATCTATTACTGGCCCTGTTTAACCACCACCCTGATAGAATATTTCCAGAATTATAGAATGTTCATCTGTGACCTCTCCCAGTCATCAATATTCTGAGAATAACCATAATTTTGAAGTCTAACACCATAGTTGGTTTAAACAAATCCATATAAATAGAATCACTCTTTTCTACTCCTGACTTCTTTTACTCAACATCAGGTCTGTGACATTCCTCCATGGTTTTTGTGCATGCTGAGATTTTTTCAAAGAGTCTATATGAATCTATACTCTTTTCAGCAATTTGATGAAGTCCCAGATGCTCTTCATCTTCATCATATATAATTTGATTTCAAAATTGATAAGGAATATTAGTACAAATCGACACATTTAGAGAGTTACTTATTTAAATATCATCTGAAGGAAGCTACAATGTCTTCCATTTATATTAAATCTGCTAGTTTGGATTTTCTACTTAATATTACTGAATTACTATGAGACAAAGATAACAGAGTTCATTGCAAACAGACAGTAAGGAAAATAACGTACTCTCTGTGCCTTCAATTAACTTGATCACTTTGAGTGGGAACTAGCATAGTAATTAATTTGACATGGTCAGGTTTATTGTGCATAACCAAAAGTGAGAAGGCATTCCCAGGGGTATTATATCAACAACAGACACAATTATTTGGAGGTGATTATAACTAGATGTGTAGTCCATGTGCAAGAGCCTTGTTAGGACTTGACAACCAGTGGAAATATGGGTTTCTAACACAAGATAGTTTCTTGTGTGATTTATTAGTGACACTTGTTATTAAGCAAAAGGCTTGGATTAAAAGAGCAGAAAATGAACTTCTCAAAAAAAAAAAAACATGCAATGGCAAGAAACAAGAAATGCAAGGCATTGTCTGCTGTGTGATTATCAGGACCTCAAGTAAGGACAATACGGCTTGAACTACACACAGAATCCATAGACATTCTAATGACCTTGACCTTTATTATCAGTCTTTTCACCTATTGGTTTAAAAACTGAATTGTGCAAATTTTTAGTACCTTATTTCTCAACTCTAACAATAAATACTCTCCATCCATCCAGTGATATCTCATATGAACTGAAATTAAAAGCATTGTACAATACAGCATGCTTTGGAAATGCCACATAAATTACATCCATAGATGGGTAGAATATAAATATTTGTCCTAGCCAAACCACATGATTATTTTCAAATGTTTCAGTATCAATTAAACGAACTGTATTTTTGTTTCCAGTTTGGCAGCATTTAAAAGGAAGTATATCAACAAGTGTCATGGGCATGTCAGTGTGAGTTATAAATTTATACATGTAAGACAATGGGAAAAAATATCCATTGTAAACTGTTTAAAGCCTGTTGGAGCATTTTTATCATTTTCTAGTATCAGTGGAGCAAACCTCTTTCAGGCAAAAAATATGATACTGGTTGTCCAGCATGAACATAGAAAAATGCTTCTTTTCCCCTTATCAAATGTAAGCGCTTATACATGATTTTTCTATCCTAATAGGATCCTTGCTAAAATAGGGCATATTTCTTACAAAGTTCCACTTTTTTTAATTTAGGATTTTCATTTTATTTCGCTCATGTTCATAAACAGGGTGATTATCTTTCCATGCTATAGTTCTAAACCTAGACTGCTGACAGTTCAGAACCCAGATTCCTAATGCTCATGGGACATTCAAAAGTCTGATCTAGTGATGCCTTTTCAGGTAAGCAGGCTGGTGAAGATTCTGCTAATAGTTAATTCCAGAAGGGTAAATCAAACTTAGGTCACATTATTAGAGTTAGGAATATGGTTTAGGGAAAAAGGGGGAAAAAATGTTATTTTTCAATGGCAAGCATAAGAGATTTGGATGAGTTATTGTCATTTAAATCTGTACGTTTATTGTCTGGTTTATTGATCAAGGAATTCCTAATGTCATTTTAGTATCAACTAAAGTAGACAGAATATGAGGTAAAGGATGACCGTACCCAATAAATTCAACCTAAAGTCAGGAATCATCAGTAACAAGATGATATTCGGAGAATACAGCAGCAAGGGGAAGATGCTACCAGGTGTTCATCCTCAGTGCCCCTTAACATACTGCATTCTCAATCGTTCTCAACACTGAAGAGCAGAACTGAACAGAAGAATAATAAACCAGCCACAGGATGGTCCTACTGTCAAGAAACTTATGGCCAAATTAGGAAATCACCCTTTATAGTGATTTCCACGGGAATGAAATAATCTCTTTGTTGGGGACAGCATTAGCTGTTCAGGATATCTAATACTGAATTGATGTTAGCTGGAGGGTGGAAGGCAGAAATTCCTTTTGGATCCAGATATAATGAATAGAGAATTTATGGAGAGGTTCCAAATCCATCAGGTAAACACAACAAGTGGGAAAACACAGGAAAAGTAAACTGAGTTTCTGGCAGTGGGCTGGAGTCTGACACAGGAAAGCAGAAACAGGAAAGCTAAGCCATTTGCCCTCAAAGAGGCTGAAATTAAAACAAAACAATCACATCAGATTGGAAAGAAGAGGAAAATATAAAACTCTCATTTGCCCCTTTGGCTAGCTCACTAGACAGATAGGCCTAGGAATTAGAGGCACTAATGAAATGTGTCATGTTTAAGAGACTGCAGAGGCATGTGGTTACCCTGACAACAAAAGGCATTACTCATACTGTTGCACAAAGTAGAAGACACATTTTGACTGCTGTCTCCAGACAAATGATTTCTTTCCTAGTAAGCTCTCTAAATACAGAGCCAAAGTTTTGAGGCCTGAGGTATTCTTCTGTGTAGAGATATATTAGTCCAATGAATGAAACACTTAAATCTTACAGAAAAATTGGCAACTTGATTGTGACAAAACTAGAGATTACTACTTTAAACTACTAAGCTTTTGCAGCTGTGGATTGTAAGGTATCTGTCACAATTTCAACTTGACTAACTAAAGACATGTCCCTGGAGACATTTGTTTGAAGTCAGGGAAAGAGGAAAGTCTATGAAAGGGAAGTTTGAGCATTTGTGCAATGGAAATTCTGTCTTTTTAAAAAGTAAAATTCCTATAGTTAGCAATATACTTTGAGAAACATAGTTTGCACAGTAATAGATTGAGGTAGTCAGATACTTTGTGATTTTTTTCCATCTTCATGTACATCTAAGGAAAGAAAATTTAGTTTGTTTTACTAAAGGTAATTATTCCCTAATATAATGCTTAAAACAAAGATGTAAAGAACTGTGTGTGGGGGTGGGTAGGTGGTTGTGTTGTGTCTGTCATCTAAATGAAAAAGTGATTTACATTTTGACCCACGAAATATGAATCAGATTAAATTCTCATAAACCAGGAAACTGAAGTAAAGTAATGACCATACAAATCCCAAACATTACTAAATTCTATGGATTTATAATATTATAAAATGTCTAGCTATTTATTATTTCTAACAAGAAGCACATCTAGCAATGGAGAAATAAAGAAAGAACCAAGAAAAGGTTTTCTTGCAGCTAGATGCATAAGAGCTCAAAAACTACTTTAGGATTTGTATGTACAATACAATCCCTTCTATGTACAATGAAATTCCTGGCTTTAGTGTACAATAGATCCTTCATTTACACTAGTATGTAAACAAAAGATACCATGGAAGACTGGAAAGCATGCTAAATTTGGAGCCAGAAACTTGGTTTAAGATACATTCTTAATTTCTATCTAATTATATGCTGAATAAAATAAAAGCTTTGGATTAGATGCTCTGTGAAAATCTTTAGCATTTAAACTAAAAGTTAAAAATTTTCAAGTACATTCCATCTTTAAATTCAGAAGATCATTTAAAAAATTTATATCTTTGATTTTTCTTAAAAAATATGGATATATAAGATAGTATATCAAAAACATTCCTAAAAAGCAGAATTAATCACCTGCTGACCCTTGATCTAGTGGTACATGTATTGAAGTTGCCTCTCTCACTTGGGTCCCTAATGTTATGTCCAATCTGTTTTTCTCATTTATCTTATCTGTATAGCTGGTTTGCAACCCATGTCTAGAAGAGACAAAATAAGTTGGCTTTAATGGATAAATCATGTATCTATAAGAAAGGTGGTAAGATAGTACTAAAACATAAAAAAATAAGAGTCAGAGAATCAAATGTTCCTACTGTGTCTCTAGAACCAATAGGTAAGCATCTTTGTGGATGAACAGAAATTTTCAGTCAATGTTAACAGATATATATGTATATATATATATATATATATATATATATAGGAATATGGCTCTTATAGTTCAATGTATCTCATCCATCAAATTAATTCAGATTGTGAACATATGTGCATCCAGTGGTCTCCAGTCCCAAACCATTCTCCACACCAAAGCCATAATAAATGTGTATGTAAATATACATAATGCTGAGCATCCTATATAATTTTTCTGCCAGCTTCATTAAAATTAGTTTTCTACTGTCATATTATTCCCTAGATAAACTAGCAATCCAACTTCCCAAGTCTAAGCAGAACCTGAAATAATACTAGTCTTGTAGGTTACTTCCTGGGCACGCAATTGACATTCTTCAGATGATAGTCAATCTTTCTCTGAGGCTGTCCCTTCAAACAGTAACAAGTTCATTCTATTAGACCTTTTGGAAGACCTGAAAATGCCTTATACAGGCTGTGATCTCTAATGCCTAAACAAGACCAAGATGAATTTCAATGATAGCAGTAATAATGAAAGTGATGTCTTCCTAATAAAGCAGCTTTAGTTCATCAGGATAATTAAGAGAGGCAGAGAAAATAGCATGTATGAAGAT